AGAGAGAGAGAGAGAGAGAGAGAGAGAGAGAGAGAGAGAATCAATTAAGTAAAAGAGAGAAAAGTAAGACAAGAAAGAAAACGAGAGAGAAAGAGAAAGTGGAAGTGGGAGTGGGAGGGTGGGAGGAAGAGAAGTGGTATTTTGTGGTTGAATAAAGTTAATAACTTGTCTTGATAAAAGTTGTTAAATGACCATTTAATATCTGTTGTTATCATCCACATCATCTTCATCGTCATCATCATTATTGTTATCATCATCTCCTTTCTTGGGATATCCTCAGCATATACACACACACATAAATTGCTTGGACACTTAACAATTATATTCAATTTGCAACACAAACAACAACTACTACACAAGAACAACATCAACCACACAACCTCATTTAACTTGAGGCATGAGAGTATATTTATATTACTTCAGAGCGGAGAGTGGAAAAAAAAAGTTTGAGAGAAAGTGAAATGAGTATATGAATAAATTGGCCTAAATTGAGATTCTTGTCATGATGAGGAAGAAGGAAGATGAAGATAAAGATGAAGACAGAAAATGTAGCTAACAATCAACAGAGGAAGAAGAAAGAAAGAGAAAAAAGAAAGGAGGAAGAGAGGGAGTAGTAAAAAAACAGTGAGATGATGAAGAAAAAACCAGTTAACAACTCGTTGTAAAAGTCTATTGACAAAAAAGGCAAAAAGTTAACAGTGAATCAGAATTGTAAACATACAGAGAGAGAGAGAAAGTTGAATGGCGAGTGACCCTGTAACTGTTTCTAATGATAATGTAATATGAACTTAATTGGTGTGGATAGATGAGAGAGACACAATTGACTTTTGTTATGATGATTAACATTAATAATAATGCTTAATGATGATGAGGATGATAAAAAAAAGGACAACACTAATAAGCATCTGTAGTAAGAGACTGAGAGAGAAAGATGAATATTATTATAATGAGTGAATTAATTAACTAATTAATGATAATTAAATGAGCCTTTACAATTGGTATTGTTATTTATCAAAGGTAAGTTCATAGAGGCGAGAGAAAGTTAATCAACAGTAAATGGGAGAGAGAGAGAGAGAGAGAGAGAGAGAGAGAGAGACAAATGATCAACAACAAATTAAATTATCTCTAATATTGAATGATTAGCCATGATTATATTGGTTAATCATCTGATTTAACAATTTACTAGGAGGATGATTGATGATGATGATGATATTAATTGTACGGTTTTATATATATATCTCTCTCTCTCTTTAATTAAATCAATTTGAGTGTTTCAAATGATTTGTTTTTCTGTTTCAACGTTGAAAGTAAGCAAATTTTTCTGTTGTAAAAAAATAAACAACAAAATACAAGTTGATATACAAAACTATTTAGGTCAAGTGTTAGTTGTATTGGTTATCACCATCATCATCATTTGTTGATTGTTGTTTATTTACATATTGTTGTAACACTTTTTTTTCTGCCCAATCATCATCACTATCAACATCATCTCTATTTATCCTATTTGGTCAGCAGTAAAAAAAGCGAGCAGGAAAGGAGAGAGAGAGAGAGAGAAAAGGGGAAAAAGTGACAGGGAGAGGAAAAAGTGGACAATGGACAGTAAAAAGAGAGAGAGAGAGAGAGAGAAGACAAAGAGTATGTCAAGAGGAAGGTAGATAATGATGATGAGAAAGGAGAGAAAGTGAAAAAGGAGGTGAAGGAGGAGGAGGAAAAGGATAATGATAATAATATAGTAGCAACCTTGGTAAAAGGACTATACGAAACTGGATGGAACATTTTAAATAGGAGTGGCCAAAGAGTGGAAGCAACTGAAAAACCACCAATGCTCATGGCAATTGAAACAAGAATAGTTTTCATCTATCACTACCACCACCACTACACCACCACCACCATCATCATCATCATCATCATTATCATGATTAACAAGTAAAAGCAATTTGTTGATAATAATAATATTATTTACTAGATTCTCACTTATCTCATCTGTCTCACTCTGGAAATACTTACATATGTAGTTTTCCATATGTAATAAAAGTATCTCACTTTTTGGCTCTCACTCAGTAACTGGCTCACTATTCATTTCATTGTAATTGTAATAATTATTATTATCATTCTCATGGATAAATGATAAATAAATGATGACTTTTGACCAATCAGAAATCCCCCTTGTTACTTTATCCACTGGATGATAAAAAAAAAGTATCATCCACTCAGATAATATAACTGTAAATCTAGTTTCCATTTTTTGTTATCAGAGATAAAAAAAAACATCTCATATGGAGTCGGTGCAAAAGTAAACATACCAAATGAAATTCAGTTCATGATGATAACAATCATGATAATAATAATAATAATAACATCGTAATAAACAATCAAGATAATAATGTTAATGTCTATGGTGGTGAGTATATTTATATATAAATCGTTTGGGTGAATGTTGTTTATTATGATTTTTTCTCACCAGGATGTTGATTGTTACCTTTATGGAAACTTCCGAAATTGTAATAATAATTAAAGTTTGATTAGGATTATCCTCTTAAAAGTAAATTTTATCAAAACATAACTGGATTAACTGTAAATTGGTTGATTGATTGTGAAATTGATTCAAGACTAATCAAGAAACTTTCATGTGATTATATTTGGTAACTTGATAACCATATGAAATGAGCAAATATTTTGTTTGAAAAGTTGAGAGAAAAGAAATTTTTAAAATCAGTAAAGGGATTTAATTAATTACAGCAATTAATTTGTTCATCGGTGTGAGTTGATTATTGACATTTAAGGTTCAAGATGGTGGTGGTGGTGGAGATGATGATGATGAGGCAGATTAAGTGTAGAGGGATTGAGAAATGAGATCAAATTGACTATAATGAGAGAGTAAATTAATTTCCTCATCATCTCATAATAATAATAATAAATAAATAAATCATAGAGGATTTAACATAATCATGGATAAGATTAGGTTAATTGATTGGAATAGATAATGTTAATAGAAAGATATTCCTAACGAATTGAAATTTTGTTTTATTACATGAATTGGACATTGGACATTAAAAGGTAGATTGATCTTAGACCTCAAAGTCCAAGAGTTGATCATCATCATCGTCAGTAACTGTGAACTTCATATACTTGAAAAGACCCACTGAAGTAGATGATGATGATGATGAAGATATTATTACAAATATCATATAAAAAATGATGATAAACATTATGACGATAATAATAATAACAGTAACAATGATAACAACAATAATATCAATGACCGTATCAGGTTCAGGTAAATATAAGGATAAAAAATGAAACATTAAATGTTAGACATGACTTAATTTGTAATGGACTGGCAGAGAGAGAGAGAGAGAGAGAGAGAGTTAGTACGCCCAGGAAAGATGAGAATGATGATGATAATGAAGATCATCAGAAAAGGTCATATGAATCATTCTTGTAGTAACAATCATCATCATCCTCATCCTCAACATCGTCATTGTGTATGGTAACATATAAATATATTAATTATATGTGGGAGAGACTCAGGTGATTCTCTTTCTCTCTTTATTTGGCGTGGTCAGTGCGAAAAGTAAATACAAGGTAAATTGAATAAGAGAAAGAGAGAGAGAGGAAAATGGATCAACATATTACAAAAAAGAATGAAAAAGAAACAAGAATATAACATGGAATAGAAAAAAAGAGAAAAAAGTTTCAAGGAGAAATTTTCTGCTCTTTCTTGTCTACAATTTATATTTTTGTGAGTGAGCGGTGGTAGTGGTTGTGCTGGTGGTGGTGGTGGTGATGCTGGTGTTTGTTTGTTTGTGAGTGTTTGAGTGAGTGTATGTGTTGGTGACTTGAATCATCATTATTATTATCATCATCATCGTCATTGTACTTGGGCAGATGTTGATGTTTCTAACCACATCCGATTATGATGATGAAATAACGGAGGAGGGAGATGAACACAAATCTTCAGACTATCAGGAATATTTTTTGATATCATCATGATATAAATAAGGCACAGAGAGAAAGAACTGATTAGCAGGGGGACACAGGGAGAGAGGGAGAGATGAAGAGTCAATTCGTTCAGTACTCTCTCTCTCTTTTCGTAAGGAATGATGATCACCATCCACAACAGCATCATCCTCATCATCTTCATCATCATACTTACTTTTACAAACTGGAATCTATCCAAGTCATGCGGAAAAGTTTGTTCCACTTTAGCCTAAACTTTACTGTTGGCTTTTGGATGTTACTGTATTGGTGCTTACATGATGATGATGATGATGATGATGAGGATAAGGATGGTGAGGATGATGAGAGTACATCATCACCCCAGAGCCTTAGCCAAAAAATATCAACAAACGTTTTTCTGGCTAAATATGGCCAAAGGAAGTCAGAGATGATATTAACTTTTTTCTCATCATCTTGCCACCGAGTTCTCTCTCTCTTTCATCATCTCCACTCACTCACTTCAGTGTATATCTCTCTCTCTCTCTCTCTCTCTCTCTCTCTCTCTCTCTCTCTCTTCCTTTCTCTCTTATTGGAGAGCTTGTACTTTTATAAATAGAGAGAGAGAGAGACTGACCTTGCCTGAGTAAAGAAGAAGAAAAAACTTTTACTTTCAATCTTGGATTCAGTAGATTTTCAGTGAATATACAAACAGCTTTTTTCTGTTGCTTTCCTTATATGAATTTTGGCTTTTTTCTTTTTGCAGAATAGAATGTTTTTTTTCATCCTCATCTTCTCTCATGCTTCCAAAACATTTGAGACTCACAAAAGTAACTGATCTTTTCCAAGAAAAAAATAGAAATCAAACATCGAGAGCACAATTTGACCAAAATAAAATGGAAACAACTATTGATTCCAATTCTGATTCACTGAACGATTCCGTTAACGATTTGAAATAATGATAATAAAGGGATAATAATAGAAATGTTGAAGTGATGGACATAAGAGAGAGAGGGTGAGGGAGGTAAGAGAGAGAGAGAGAGAGAATTAATTGAAATAAATACCTTGTACTATTGTATTGGTATAAGCATCAACAAGTTGCTTGTCTCCGGTCAAGGAGGGACTATGTTGCAGATTATGATGATTTGAATGATGAATCCGATGAGAATTATGAGAATGATGATTTAAATGATGATGATTATTATTGGTGTGTAGATGATTGTTGAGATGAAGGTAAGATGATGATGGTGAGGTTGATGAAGAGTATGTTTTGTTGTTGTTATTACTCTCATGATAGTTATGATTAGCCTCATGTTTAGGTGATGAGAGATGGTCAAGAGAGAAGCAAAATTTTTTAGATGAACACCTAGAAGATTGATTTGGGTCACTAATTGATGAACCATTGGTCTCATGGTTGTTATTGGTGTTGCTGTTGTTGTTGTTGTTGTTGGTAGTTATCGTTGTGGTAGAGATGCTGGTTGGTGTAATTGAACCGTTGTCACTTTTATCGGTGGGTGAAGATTCAGATGGATGAAGGTGAGAAAATATGGAATCACATTTAGTCCGTTTGGGTAGTTGTTTATGTCGAGGCATTTTCCTTTAATATCGACGATGTAAAACTTGGGGGAAATGTTGGTATATCTCCTTTGGTGTAAAATAGAAAGAAACAAATCAACAAAAAACAACAAGAAAAAAAAACAACAAGAAAAAAAAAGAGAACAAAAAATTTGTTCTATTCTCTTAAAAACAATTTTTTTCTATTCTCTTTTCCAAACAAAAAAAACCAATCAACTCTCTCTCACTTTCTCTCTCTCTCTGTCTCTCTGTGTATTTTAAATATTTCACTCTCTCACTCACCCTCTCTCTCTCTCACTCTCACTGTTCACTTATATAAATTATTATTTATAAATTAATATCACTTATTACAAATAAATATACATTTAGAGATTTACATTTGTAGTTATATTATCACCTTTAAATTGTTGGATAATAATGATGAACGTTGTTGTTGTTGATCATGTTGAGAGTGATGATCAAATGTTACCAACTGTTCAAACTGTTTCCCTCTCTCTCTCTCTCTCTCTCTTTCTTTTTCTTCTTCTCTCTCTTTTTGCGCGAATGCACAACTAACCCCATCTGGCGGATTTTCCGAGCAACAAAATTCTCGTAATTTTTATTTTCTCAATTCTGAATTTCTGTCCACCCCCTTGACCTCCTCTTTCTTATTTTCTTTTTGTTTTATTTGATATTTTTTTCTCTCTCTCTCATATCGAATATGTAATATTTTTATCTTCATGTAAGAACCTGTAACCTAATCGCTTCTTGTGTCCCGTTCTCTTGGTAATTTTTGTCTCTTTTTCTCTTTGCAACTGATGATCGTCATTGTTGTTACTCTGTTACTCTTCCGTTTCCTTTTTCCTGTTGGTTATTTATTCACATTATCCCCCTGAATCTAGGAAGATAATGATGATGATGATGATGATGAGAGGTGAAGGAGGAGTTGATGATGAGGATGATGATAATTCCTATTTTGGTTTCTCTCTCTCTCTCTCTCTCTTACTATTGGTTTGCCGTTTTTAGATTAAATAAACTTTTGTTTTTTTCTTCTTCCACAATCAACAATCAACTAATTCAGTGTCTGTTTCCTTACAATTAACTGATAACACTTGGAATTAATCATTACCATTAAGGTTTCCAATGTTGTTAATTTTATCACTATTACGATTATGATGATGATGGCCAATTAGTTGATTGTTATTTTTAATTGTTTATTGAAAAACTTTTCAAAACTCAATAATAACCAATAGATTATTGTTATTATTGATTTTCATCATGATCATTATTACAAAATGAAACAATTAAACTGATAATAAAGGTAAATATTACAATTCCAGTTAACAATTTATATTCAGTAAACTTGGAACTGGATTATAATTAACCTGATTAAATTTTGTTTGATTGTCAGATCGTAATGAAAGTTGATCAAAGTAACAAAATAAAACTTTTTTTTTTGTTTCGTCTCTTCAGTTATCCTCTTGATTAGGGATTCTAATTGTTAATTATGATGATTTAATTTAATATCATATTATCATTAAGTAAACATTGAGGTTACCCCTCAATCATAATCATCTAATTTTTTTTTCATTTACAATCAAATCTAATTAATCGTTTAATCATAATGGTAATTAGTAATCATAGTAATTTGGACTGGAAGAAAACAACAAATTGATAATAATGTTTACCTGAGACTTTAATTGTTACAATTGATATATAAAAATAAATAGTAATTTAATCAATTAAGGTTCATTTGCCTTCACCATTATTTGGTCAGTTGATTAGTTAATTGTAATTGTAAATATAATAGCAAGATAAATTTACCTGTTGATTAATTGATTGATTATCAATAACAAACAACTTGAGATGATAAGTTTTTGTTTTATTTTCATATATAAAAATGATAATTGTAATTAAGGTCAATTAGATTGGTGATTGATTTAATTGGTTGAATGAAAATTAAACCAATATAATCAGTTATTGTCCTTTTCTTGATTACATAGAGTTTTGTTAATCTGGATTAAGGTGATGATGATGATGATCAAGATGAGAAACTGGGTGGGGTTGATCAAAGGTTATATCTCTTCATGATGATCATTGAAATTGATTGTAATCATATTGAAGGAGAAATTGTGAAGATAACAAAAAAAGACCATTGAATCTCATCTTCTATCATCATTTATCATCATGGTGATTAAAAAGACAGAGAGGATAATTGTTTGTTCATCATCATCTTCCAAAAGTTTCAAGTTAATCTTATTGGAAACTTCCGGTAATGTGATATACTTTTCTCAAGGCATGACTATTACTCTCTCTCTCTCTCTCTCTCTCTCTCTGATATTATTGCACAGGTCAGATGAATACATTCAGTATCCACCACCATGAATTGTTGGGAGGTGGAGGTTGAGAGAGAGAGAGAGAGAGAGAGAGAGAGAGAGAGGTGGTAACATAAATGTGGGAGGGAGAGTGGGAGAGATTGGACTGATTTTGTCATATAGATGGTGATGAACTTGTTGTATCTTTTTTTTTCAAGGGATGACAAAAAAAACCATTCGATTATTTTACCTGTTGATGTTTTCTAATTGTCTTTTTCTATGTCAGCTAATTGTTGGGCTAATTGTTATGCTAAGATTATATTTGTATGTTTGTTTATGAGTGAGTGTCTATTTATATTGATATTGAGAGTTTAAATTGTCAAGTGTAATTTTTGTCTTTCACGTCCTATGGTCACCAATTTAATGGTTCAAAGATTCATGGTGAGCAACATGGTGATAATTTTACTAACAACAGGTAGACAAGGTAAAAATTGGTAACAATCAACATATTATAAGTTAAAGTAATTAAAAGTAATCAATGGATCAAGTTGAATACACAGGTAATAGCAACAGGTTATCATGAATAAGATAATAATAATCAGATAAAAAAGGTAAATTGATTATAATTGTTAGAGAAGAGAGGATAATAACAATTAACAAATTGTTGACGTGTACCTGAGGATGATTAGACTACTTTGATTATCTAACAATTAACTCGAGGTTACCTGATCATCATCATCATCATTTGTAATTAACTCAAGTCTTGCGTTGATTTTGAATTCACATATGATGTTGGTCATCGTAATCAATTGATTGGAAATCGTTGTTTTGCTTGACCGGCGGGAACGTGTGACCTGATTATTAGGGAGGAAAAGGATTGACCCATTTACAAGGGAAGACTGAATGACCAGAGGTCAACGGGGACAATGTTTAATGGACTTTGCTGTCTGGTTAATATCAACCCACTTAAAATTAAAATGATAAATAAGAGACCTCTGGTCAAGGAGGATGGACACAAGTAAGAAAAGGTGAAAATATTGAGAGAGAGGGTTCGAAAGAGGGAAAATGACCTCAACTGACCAAAGGTGAAAAGAGTGGGTTAAATGTGTTTTATATCAAATTGTTGCTCGAAAAGTTTGCAATTAACTTAATCATAAAGTTGATGTATTCAAATGATCAACTGGATTAAAAACAATATCAACTTACAAGTCACAACAATGAAAACACCAAAGTAGAGAAAGACAAACCTAAATAAACAAAATTATTAATGATTTAAATTAAAAATTAACCAAACAATTAAATTTACTTACACGACATGAGTAATTAATGGCAACAATTAAAATGAAAAAACCTTAACAATTAACAGAAACCGGTAAAATCCATTGAGAAATACAAAGGAAAAACTTTACCGACGATAAAATAACAAAGTCTGAGTTATTTAATTGTGCTAACAATTTACTTAATTTCAATCATATGTAGCATGTAACATTGGTCACGGCACATTTGACCATTATCTCAACAATTAACTACCACACAGTTGCAATTTAACATATATTGCCAGTAACAACAATCTAAAAATGGTTAAACAATCAACGAGAAATCAATCTAACTGTTAACATTAACAAGTGATAGTGAAAGTTTTCAAAAGCCGTTGTGGTCACTTCCTGTCCAGTCCAACTTTCTAAGGTATAATATTAATAATATTTATTATTTTTTAACTTCTCTTCCTCTCTCTCATCATAATCATCATCATCATCATCATCACAGGTAAGGATGATAATGATGATGATAAGTTTCAACCTCTCGACCAAGTTAAATGATGGTTAACATTGAATTGATTGTTTGCAAACAATTGCGATTTTGCTGGTGATTAAATTGTGATTATGAATGAAAAAAGATCTCGATTCAGTGTGAAAATTAGTTAGTTAATATTTTCCACTTTCACAATTAACTTAATTTAGTTTTCGTAAATTGTTTTTTTATAGTTGATTAATTGTCTGCATTTGAAACCCATTCAAGAGATTGAGACTTTACTAGTTGTTTACTTTTCTGTATAACTTGTTATTGTTGATAATTAACTAATTGTTCATTAACTATTACAATATGAAATGAGGAAATATAATTATTCATATTTAGTGTTATATACTAATTAGTTTGCAAATGGATTTAATTTTGTTTTGAAAACTTTTTTCTTATCAAGGTGAAACTTTAAATTCATCGAGTTGGTCTTGTCCTTCCGTTTCCGGTGTATTCAACTGTCTGTTGTTGGTATTGGTGATCAGGCTAACTGTTTAAATGTTGATTATGATATTGATCATGATGAGTAATTAAAAGTGATGTTATCAATTTAATTTCATTGACATTATCATGGTGATAATTGTTAACGGTTTCTGGTCGTTATATTTACAAGGTGTTTCTGGTTCATTTAATTACAATCAATTAGGATTTTTTTTTGTTGTTGTTCTTGTTGTTAAATTGATTGACAGTTGATTAATTGTTTGTTATCAATGTATTATTGATATTATTGGTTAATTGTTAGATAGGTTTCCACTGGTGAGCAATTAAAGATTATTCCTGTTTCTGTTTACTTTTACATGGTCCAACATGGTAACTGAATTTAAATTTCAAACTCAAGAATTGGAAACTGAATCAACTTTGAAAGTTTAGTTTTTTTTTATTTCTCTTGTTTGTTAATTGTTTTGCATTTTCAATTGTAAACTTATTGGTTTCGTTGAAGTTTTTTTTTACCATTGATTATTGATTGGTGTTTATTATTGTATTTATATCATTGTAATTGATTGTTGTTTTGTCAATAATAAATGATTGTTAGCATTGGTGATGGTGATAACTGTAAAAAATGATATTAGGAGGCTAGAAGATGAAAAGATTTAATTTTGACATTGGACAAGTCATATCAAGTATTAGCTTGATCATCAATCTACCAATAATCTAATCAAATGTCAAGAGAAAGAGAGAGAGAGAGAGACGATGGAAGATGGAAGATGGAAGATGGAAGATGAGGATGAGGATGATGATACCAGAGGAAAAGGCAGAAAGATTTGATATCCGGTGATTTTAATGGTTGGTGTGATTTGAAAATTTCATCTTTATACAAAAGCGGATTTTGTCAAGACCGGAACTGTCCTCCTAGGAAAGATGAAGGTGAATAAGATGAGG